TATAGGTTAGGGTTTATTTCTGGGCTCTCTATTCTGTTCCATTGATCTATATGTCTGTTTTCATGCCAGTACCATTGTAATTTTTTTTATCCTCACCCGAGGATATGTTTATTGATTTTAGAGAGAGAGGGAGAGAGAGAGAGAGAGATCATTGTGAGAGAGAAACATCAATTGATTGCCTCCCATATGTGCCCTGATTGGGAATCGAACCCACAACCTTTTGGTGCATGGGGCAATGCTCCCACCAACTGAGCCACACCAACCAAGGCACATTTGCCCATTTTAAAATTGTGTCATCCTTGTATTAATGAGTTGTAAGTTTCTTTATATATTCTAGGTACAAGTCTCTATCCGGTATATGATTTGCAAATACCTTCTCATGTTCCGTGGGTGGTGGTTTCACTTTATTTGTGGTATTCTTTACATTACAAACATTTTAATGTTGATGGAGACCAACCTCCCTATTTTTTCTTTTGTCCAGTGTGCTTTGGTGTCACATCTAGAAGGCTGGCAAACCATTCGACTTTGAAGATTAAAATGTACATATGTTAACTTCTGTCCTTAGGGGCACATGCCCTATGTGGCTTTGGTTTGATTTTGGGGAAAATAAAACAAGTTTGGTGCAACAGTGTTTTGATTTGCCTTGAACCTATGAAAATTCAAACCTCCCTGATTTCCGCTTCTTTTTCAAATCCTCTAAACAGAGCTTGCGCAGAGGCCTGGGCTAGGGGAGGGTACGCGGCCGAGAAAGAGGAGAGACAGCAGTGGGAGAACCGGGAACGGAAGAAGATCACGGACAGCATCGAAGCCTTGGCGAGGATCAAGCGGCGGGCTGAGGAGAGGAAGCGGCAGGTGGCGAGCCAAGAGAAAGGTAGGGTCTACACGGGGCTCTGCTTACATTGGAAATCCATGCTGCACAACTCCCAGTCTTTCACCGCTGGGATTTGGGGGTGGGGAGAGGGAGGTTTAGACCATTTACTCACAGACCTGCTGATCCACCAGCAGGTGAAAACCCCCAACATTCATGTGCAGTTTCGAACCCCTTTTAGTGACTAAAACTCAATTTGTTAAACCAGCCCGTTTCCCAAATTAAATGATGTATTGGTTTTCTGTGACTGCCATAACTGATGACCACAAATTTAGGGGCCTACCCAACACAGATTTATTATCTTACCAGAGTTCCGAAAGTCTCCAGTCCGACATGGGTCTCACGGGGCAAAAACCAAGGTGTCAGCAGGGCAGAGCCCCTGCTGGAGGCTGCAGGGCGGCTCTGTTTCCTTGTCTTTTCCAGCTCCTAGAGCTGCCGGCATGGGTTGGCTCACGGCCCCTTGCTCCATCTTCACAGCCAGCAACTCAGCATCCTCCTGTCTCTCTAGCTCTGACATTCCCGCCTCCCTCTTTTAAGGCTCCTCGTGATGACACTGGACCCGCCTGGGTAACTCTAGGATGGTCTCCCATCCCTTAATCACATCTGCAAAGTCCCTTTTGCCCTGTGAAGTCACATAGTCTCAGATTCTAGGATTAGGACGTGGATCTCCTTGTGGGGCCATTATTACTCTGTCATAAACGCATAATATGACCTCCTATCAAAACAATATGGTATTGTGCTTAATTTCTCCACCTCGTGTCATTAACAACAGTAAAGTCAGCCAGCATATATACGGAGGCACAGTCCATGCCCTTTATGCCTTGTTTGAATCAGAGGGTTATGGTCATCTTGATTTTTTAATTGTTATTAGATTTTCCATTGCTACTATTGCCCCTTTGAGTCCGACACTTTTCTGCACACAGAAAGGGCTCTCTGCCCACTGGGTGGGGGTGGGGGAGCATTTATAAATAAATAGGCTTCTGCACAACAACCTCAGGTGCGGCACACTCACTCATGCACGCGTGGAACGAGCACGCAGACAGGGTGCAGAGCCCAGTGGAGGGAGAGGATATGATTCTGCCTCCGCCAAGAAGCCTCCAGTTTCCCTGGGGGGCACGGAGGAGTGCCAGCACCCAGGTCTGGAACGAAATTGTAAACTGGGAAATCACATAAGGTTAGCTGGGCTGGGGAAGGCCCTATCAAGAAGGACCCGAAAACCAGCCTTAACATGGCAGGTGACAGGAAGTCACAGGCTATAAAGACGTCTGTTGTGGAAGCCTTGTTAGGGCGTGATATATGTGGCGGGGGTTGTAGGATAAGTGCAGAGAACTGCAGCCCCAGTGTTGGTCAGAGACCTCTGTGCAAATCACCTTTTTAAAAACTGAGTTGAAATTCACATAACATCAAATTAACCATTTAAAAAATTTTTATTGATTGATGAGAAAGGAGAGAGAGAGAGAGAGAGAGAGATCAATTTACTGTTCTACTTATTTATGCATTCATTGGTTGATTCTTGTATGTGCCCTGACTGGAGATCGAACCTGCAACCTTGGTGTGTCAGGGCAACACTCTAACCAACTGAGTAATCCAGTCAGGGCCAAAATTAACCATTTAAAAAATGGCATTTAGTGCATTCACAATGTTGCACAAACAGCTCCTCTATCTAGTTTGAGAACATTTTCTTCACCGCAGAATAAAACCCTGAACCCATTAGAAGTGATTCCTACTCCCCCTGCCCCCGCCAGCCCCTGACAACCACCAATCTTTCCAGGCATTTCATACACAGTGGGGCCTTGACTTATGAGTGTCCCGACTAACGAGTTTTTTGAGATACCAGCTCGGCTGATTTTTTGCATTGAGTTGATAGAGTAATTTGAGTTAACGAGCTCCTTAAGGAGCTCGGTCTCGGAACGAATTAAACTCGTAAGTCAAGGCCCCACTGTACATGAAACCATACAGTATGTAGCCTTTTGCACCGGCTCCTTTCACTGAGCAGGATGTTTCTGAGGTTCCTGCACATTGTGGCGTGATCAGTGCTACATTCCTTTTTATGGCTTCACCTTGACCATTCAATTCTGTCCCTTTTGAAGGGTGGCCGCACTGCCTCCCTGTGGCACAGATCATTTCCCTCTGTTTAGCTGGATGACTGTATGAAAGCTGCTAGACTCGTGAAAGATTCAGGACCACCCTATTCCTGGCGTGGCTGGACCAGGGCAGGCCTGGGA